TCCCAATCTCTCTTTTGGTTGTTCCTGTGCTTTTTGTTTAACTAAAGAAATCTTTGCCAGATCCAACTTCATGAAGATTTTCTCCCATGTTGTCTTTTAGAGTTTTGGCACCCTTGTCAAAAATCATTTAACCATTTATGTGAGGATTCCTTATCGGCTCCTTATTTTATTCCATTGTTCTATACTTCTCTTTATGTTAGCTCCATATTGAATACTTTATGCTTTTTTTTATTACATTGAGCATTTTAACTCTGTATTAAGATTTAAATTCTTTAGTTTTATATTAAGTTTTGAAATCAGAAAGTAGGAAACCTCCAACTTTGTTCTTCTTTTTCAAAAATTTCTGGCTAATCAGTTCCCTTGGATTCCCTGGGAATTTTTAGGATTTTTCCCTATTTCTGCAAAAAATCTTGGGGATTTTGATCAAATGGCATTGAATCTGTAGATAATTTGGTGGTATTTATACTTTTAACAAGATTTTTTTAAGCCTTACAGTCTATGAACAGGGGATATCTTTCTAGCAATTCTATTTATTTATTTATTCTATTTATGTAGCAGTCCTGGGGGTCAACCCAGGGCCTTGTGCATACTAGGTAAGTACACTTTACCACTAAGCTGTATTCCCAAGCCCTGTTTTTTTGGTTTTTTGTTTTTTTTTTTAAGACAGGGTCTCATTAAGTTGCCCAGACTGGCCTCAAACTTGTGCTCCTCCTACCTTAATCTCTTGAGCGTCTGGAGTTACCGGAATGTACCACCACACCTGGCTAACAATTCACTTTTGAATTTTGATTTGGAACCTGGGACCTTGCTAACTGATTCCAGGAATTTTTATTTTATGTTATTTTTCAGATTCTTTGGGGGCATACACAATCATTTTATCTGTCAATAAAATTAATGTTATTTCTTCCTTTCCAAGTTTTAATTTTTCTTTTCTCATTGAACTAGCTAAGGCTTCTGATACAGCACTTATTATTTTATTTATTTATTTATTTTTTGTACAGGGGATTGAACTCAAGGGCACTCCACCACTAAGCCACATCCCC